AATATTAGGATTGGATTAGGAATTGTTAAAATTAACTTAAAAATTCCGTTTCAAAAATTGGGTTTGATTGACATATGAACTTATATAAATATTATAGATTTGTGTATTTGTACAACTTGGGTAATAGTGCACCCAGACCACATATAAGGATTTATTGTGTCCCCTCCTCTGAGTGCGGACATTCCTTACTGCACATGCTGTACCACCCATCTAATGAGCTCTAACATCTTGTATGAGGAACATATATATTGTGTAGTCGATTAATTAAAATTATCAAGAGGCGGGGGGAAAGGATGGTAACAGACAGAATAATAATAAAAAAATTTTGGATGATTTTTTTTTTTTGAAAGTTTTGTGTAAAACAGCTCGACTAATAATTCGCATAAATGAAAAACTTTGTATGCAATGGAAACTTTGTATTTATGGCCATACTGTGTGTGTGCCTGTGTGTCTGTTTGTGTATTGACTGTATATTTAAGGAGTTTAAGTAATAAATTCAATTATTTTTAGTTTATTTTTTTATTTTTTATTTATTCTTTTTCCACTTGTTGTTCTAACTTTTGTCTTGTTTTTTTTTGTTTTTTGATATCGCCTTTCAAAAATAGATATTTTATACACATACATATATGTATGTATGCACGAGTAAAACAAAAAAAAAGTCGATAATATTTATCGTAAATATATGTATATATAATACTTATATTAAACATTACATATACCTATGTATGCATATAAAATGAAAAATTGTAATAAATAACCTTAATCCCAAAATATTGATTGAATATATTGTGCATCAAGAAAATATCCTCAACGTACAGTGGAACTTCTCCAACTCGAACTCGCTAAATGCTAAAAAATTTGTTCGAGTTGGAGAGAATTCCGTTAGGGGAAGTTTGAGCAAAATAAGCGTTAAAATGAAAAGATATAAAAAAAACCAATAAATTCCTTAAAAAAAAAATAAAGTAAACATGAAATTACAAAAAAAATTTATTTATTTTATATTCATACATATGCACATATAGTTATGGTATGTTATACATATTATCCATTTTGTACATGAGATATGGGAAAAAATCAAAGATACACACAGCAACGAAAGTCATCATACACCATTACTTTTTTAAATAATTTAGCATCAAAGATATCCAAATAAGTTAATATTTTTATTATTTGTTAGAAAATGAAGTAAAACAAATATACAAGCTTATATATAACAAAAACAATTCATTAATTCAAAGTTATAAAACAAAAACAAAAAATTCTATTAAAAATTGCAACGAAATTCATCATACACTAAATAAAAATTTTAAAGAAATTGCACAAAGTATGGTATCTAATATCTTGTTGGTCCACCTTTCGCTTGAAGCACAGCTTCCAAACGTCTTGGCATAGATTGGACTAGGTTACAAGTAACAGTCGACGGTATTTTATGCCATTCTTCAATTATTACGCGTTTCAAAGACTCCTTGCCAGTTATGTCGTGTTTCCTGATTTTTTGTTCTAAAAAATCCCATAGATGTTCTATGGGATTCAAATCAGGCGACTGGGGTGGTGAATGGAGTTGTTTTGGAACGTTATACAACAGCCATTCCTTTACAACTCTCGCAGTATGTTTGGGATCGTTATCCTGTTGAAAGACCCAGGTCGATCCCAACTCTAATTTTTCGGCAGACTGTTTTAAATTATTTTTAATAATATTTAAATATTGCCACTGATCCATTTTCCCATCAATAAAAACTAAATTGCCAACCCCAGACGCCGCCATTGACCCCCAAACCATCACAGAACCCCCACCATGTTTTACTGTGGGTATAATATGTTGCAAATCCAGTGCTTCATTACACTTGCGCCAAATTTTTCCTCTACCATCTGCACCAAAAACATTGAATTTGCTTTCATCTGTGAAGAGCACGGTTTGCCAGAAGTCCAAAGTTGCTTTTTCATATTTTTTTGCAAACTCTATTCTCTTGCATTTATTAATATCTGATATTAGCGGTTTTTTACGTGGAACTCGGCCATGATATCCTTCTTGCCACAAAAATCTACGTATAGCTTGGGCATGAATATCAGTATGCAATTTTTGTGATGTACTTGTAGCTAATTTTGGAGCACTCAGTTTTGGATTTTTCCTCAATTCTTGCAAAACACCTCTCTTAGTACGGTCATCCATTTTCGAAGGACGACCAGTTCTCTGTCGATTTTCTACAGTTCCTGAATTTTCGGCACGGTTTATTATTTGGGCAATTGTCGAGAAACTCCGACCAATTATTTCCCCAATTTGTCTGACAGATTTGCCTTTATGTTTCAATTTCATTATTATTTCCCTTTCCTCTATTGTGGTTTCTTTACGTGTTTTTGCCATATTATTTTCTTGAAGTTGGTGGACTTTATTAAATGAAAACAACAATTAAATTGACTTGTGCTTCAATAAAATTATAAGCCTACTTTAAAAAATATTTTATGTCGGTGCCTAAATGTCGCGAAACAGGTTGCATAAAATTAATGTATGATAACTTTCGTTGCAAAAAAAATCACAAATTTTTCATATTTTTCTTAAGTGGGAGCATACATTAAGTGGGGCCTTGCATCTTATACTCAATGTTCTTTAAATTAATTGTGCTTTGAAACTATAAATGCAATTTTTATCAAACTGTACTAAATTCGGAGAAATAGCAAAAATATAGGGTGTATGATGACTTTCGTTATATAGTGTATATGTTTGCCGCATTCCCTTATTTGGCTTTATGTAAAAAAAATTTTCGAACTTATGTAAATTTTAAAAAAATTCTTCAGGTGAATCATTTTCGCTTAAAAACGCATTTCTTATAATGTGTAAGGGTTCATCAGCTGACGAAGAAGAACGTTTTATGAAACAGAAATCTTCTGTTGAATTTTCGTAGTCGCTAATATTAGCTGTATTTACTTCATCTGTATTCAATGCTATAATGTTATTAATGTTTCTGTTAATAAACTATTTGTTTTAACATTTTGGCCCAGGTTTAAGTAATCGCTAACGGTGAATGGTTTTTCATATGCATTTTTGTTGTAATGTTAAATATTTAATTTTTTTTGAAAACATTTTCCACAAAAATTTTTCAAACAAACTCAGTTAATCGGTTTTTTCGTTCTATTTGACATTTCTGGCAATTTCGAAACAAACAAAACATAACAAAAAATAAAAAAAAAAAGAAAGAAAAAATAAAAGTTCGAGCTGGAGAAAATTTATGCTCAAAAAGACTCAAAAATAGTTCGACTATGAGAAAATTTCGAATACGAGAGATTTTCGATTATGAGAGACTGTTTTGTATGAAAAACAGATGTAACGCTTTAATGTAAATAAAAAGTTCGAGTATAAGAGAATTTCGAATTCAGGAAGGTACCGATACGGGAAGTTCCACTGTATACAGAAAGAATATGATGGTGGCACCCTCCTGTTATTATGTGAAATATACATTCTTTTTCGTTTTGAAAAATGGGTATATATAAGTATTTGAGTTATGAAAATATGTACACACATATGTGTATTAAAGCTTGATTAAATTTTTGGAATATACACCTAAGTGACTAAATAATTTTTTATAATAATAAATACAATATTGTACGCATTACAAAATTTCGGCGATTTGTTTGTAATTAAATGTAATTAAATTGTAATTTAATGAATTTGCTGTATACATGTATAGAGACACATACATAAATTGTGTTAAATTTTCCAATCAATTTCGATAATATATACTTATTTACAAGTTCCAAAAATACTATTTATATGTATATGATTAAACTACCATATTATGTACTTTGAATAATTAAATTATTTTATATTAGTACGTAACTATGTATACATTATTATAAAAAAATTTATGCAATTAGAATGAAAATTTTATCAGAATTTTATTATAGGAGAAAAAAATTACAAGCACTTGTATTTCTTTGATAATGTTTCCGAGACATTATTTGGTTACAATATCAATTTTAAGAATTGTACCAATATATCTATAGCATCATATACTAAGTTTGATTAAGTTAACAACCCTTCCTCACGCCCAAAGAATACACTTGGACCACTTAGGCCCGTTATGTGGTACCGCTGGAATTCTCTTTTTTCGTGTTTTTTATTTGAATCAACCGCCTGAAATCTTCAAGAATTAATTATAGAAATCATATATAGTAATACAAAAATATAGGAATATATAAATAAAATAAAATTGCCGAAAAATTTTCTTTGCATAAAATATTAACAGCCCAAATCACTTTCTCAAATAACGTTAACTCTTCGAGATCTTAAATTCAAGTTTAATAGAAAAAAGTAGTGATCTAAAATATCACGATTTCAATTCGAACCAAATCAGAAACCAAAAAACAAAGCTAATGACTGGCACAATGGCACAAGATCTCATAAGCCTTATGCGCATTTAGGTTATGCGCCAAGTCGATCAATATGAAATTAATTGCAGCGTAGATTATCAAAAATTTTTTGTCATTGAAGCAGCGTTACCATGTGTAGCGTATTAAATTAACTTTTTTGTCAAAATGCTTTTTTGGCAACTTTGAAAAATATGGAAAAAAAGTTTAAAAAAATTCCAATTCTGAAAAATTTCAATAGCTTTAAAAAACAAATGGAGCACTAAACAAACTGGGAGCACAAAACATTTTTTATGTTTATGTTTGTGTTTATGTGTTTTATTCTGTAGTTATTACACCTTATTACAACTGGAGTTGTAGCAATTATTAAGTTCAATACTTCGAATAAATTCAAAATGCATAAGTAAATATAGGTTTTATAATAAGTTATTCTATTCAATTTTTAAAGATTTTATTTTTGCCTAAAAACAGCTTAAAATTTTCGAAAATATTATTGATAAGGAAAGGTCTGTCGTAATTGTTTCTAAGAGAACCTATCCTCGATTTTTTGTGCATTGTTAAAAATGTTGAAATTATATACATAGGTATAGTTAGTAGCATGTCTAAATAATTTGAATTTTTTTTTTTTTATTTCACAGATTTTTTTCGTATTACAGTCAAAATTTTAACAGATAAAAATTAAAATTAAATTAAAAAAGGTGAAATTTCAAATTGCAATCATTTAATTTTTTTTTTTTTTTTTTGATGATAAAGATCATTGAAATAATTTTTTCTCGGGATTAAAAATAAAAGAAAAGATTTTCTTGAATAAAAGGAAAATCAATTAAAAATAGATTTCTTCAAGTGTGCAATCGCGATGGCTGCACCAGCAGCCTGTACGCGCTTCTCAGATAATTACGATATTAAAGAAGAGCTCGGAAAGTAAGTGTTTTTTTTTTTGGCAAGAAAACTTAAAAACTTTAAATAATATTTTATTTTTTTTTGTTTTAATAATATGTAAAATAAAGAGGTGCATTCTCAATTGTTAAAAGATGTGTTCAGAAATCAACTGGTCTGGAATTTGCTGCAAAAATAATCAACACAAAAAAGTTAACTGCCAGAGGTAAGTGTGTAAACAATTTTATTTTCTTGAACAGAAAAATTTCCCAGCGCTCACCTCTAAATCTGCTCAGAAATATTTGTTTCAGGTTTATAACTTTTCTTAATTGATACCTCAATTTTTCTGTAAGTAATACCATGAGTTTCCACTTGCATTTTCATATATTTATACTTGAACGACTTATTTTGTAGTTGCGCTGTTATTCTACTCTTTACAAAACAAAACTTCTCGAATGTATTATAAAATCTTTGTTTTGATACACCATGACTATACTAAAATTTTTGTTCGGTCTTTCACGTGATTATGATTAGTCTTAATAAATTTTTTAATATAGATATTAATATCAAATATCAATTATACAAAAAATTTAATTGTGCATAGACCGAACTATATTTAAAATGTTTTTTTTTTCTGAATCCCTTTATCGGACCTGATATCTTACAGCGTGGTTTTGAATTTTTAAAAATCTACTGGAACCTAAATCAAATAGAAAAATTACGCAGCGAAACCTTTTCAATATAAATCCCGTATGATCATATTTAATGATATTCAATTTTAGTATAACAGGGATTAATAAAGTTGGTCAAACCAATGGTTTGTATTGTAGCACTTTTCCCTTCAACAAGTGAAAATGCTGCTTTCAAAAACAATCTAGTGATTTTCTATTATTATATTAAAATTACTTTCATTTATATAGGAAACTATTTCTAGGATTGCATATATTTAGGATGAACGATTTATGCAGTCTTTGAAATAAACCAAAAATTAATATAAAGAGTAGTTAACATAAAGCTCGATTTTAAGGGTTAATTGCGTGAGTTAAGAAAAATAATTATATTTTTTAATGTCATGGAATTTACCGTTAGCTTTATGGTTTTATAGAAATTTGAGAAAGCTTGCGGTTTTGAATATATAAGGCGTCAAACATTCAAATTTTACAAATTTCAAGAAGCGATGATAACTAGAGATGGAAAAAAATTTTCTTCTAACGAAATAAACTATTTATTAATGTCTAAAAGTTGCTAAAATTTCAGGCTCCTATAAGTTGGGGTCTAGAAGAAAAAAGTTATCAAAAATTTGGCAAAAAGCGAATTTTAGATAACGGTAAATTCGAACGGCCATTTTCTTTTTTGAAAGTTTAACTATAGTATCCCGTGATAGAAGAAGCAATCCACTGCTTTTCTGCGTTTGCAAAATTTGCAAAATGCATATGGTTCTACTACAGTAAAAAGTTGAAAAATGGAATTTTTAGGGTTTTGGGGGGGTATAACTTTTAGAGGGGGAAGATAGATAAAAATTTTCTTCTACGGAAATAAGTTTCTAGTAAAGATCTCTGTACATCTAAAATTTCAGCTTTTATTTTCAAGGGTATAGAAGTTTTGTAAACAGACGCACGGACAGACGAACGGACGGACAAAGTGAAACTAATAAGCACTTTTTTTTTAAATTTTTTTTTTTTTTGGAAAATGATAAAAATTTCGAACCAACAGTTTTTTTCAGGTTTCAAAAAATAAAAAATTCAATTTGCTGATTTAAATAAACTTTTAAAAAATGACGTTATTAATGCATGTGCAATTTTTTTTTTCTTAGATTTTCAGAAGCTGGAAAGGGAAGCTAGAATCTGCAGAAAATTACAACATCCAAATATTGGTAAATTTCTTTTTTATTTTTTCAGTAAATATAAGTTAAAACATTTCTAATCCGAAAATTTATAAAATTGTTAAATTTTTTTCAAAAGTACGACTGCACGATAGCATACAAGAAGAGAATTATCATTATCTTGTCTTCGATTTGGTAACCGGTGGTGAATTATTTGAAGACATTGTTGCACGTGAATTTTATTCCGAAGCTGATGCATCACATTGTATTCAGCAAATTTTAGAATCAGTTAATCATTGTCATCAAAATGGTGTTGTACATCGTGATTTAAAACCAGAAAACTTATTATTAGCAAGCAAAGCAAAAGGTGCTGCTGTTAAATTAGCTGATTTTGGTTTAGCTATTGAAGTACAAGGTGATCATCAAGCATGGTTTGGTTTTGCTGGTACACCAGGTTATTTATCACCAGAAGTATTAAAAAAGGAACCATATGGAAAATCAGTCGATATATGGGCTTGTGGTAAGTTAGTTTTCTTTTTCAAAAAGTTGTTTAATTTATTAAAATTATATTCCAAAAACAACAATAGGTGTCATCCTATATATTCTATTAGTTGGATATCCACCATTTTGGGATGAAGATCAACATCGATTATATTCGCAAATCAAAGCTGGCGCTTATGATGTAAGGATATTATGATATTTTTACCATTTTTTTCTTTATTGTCTTGTTTCTTTTATTGAAATATTATAGTATCCATCACCAGAATGGGATACGGTAACACCTGAAGCTAAAAATTTAATAAATCAAATGTTAACTGTTAATCCATATAAAAGAATTACAGCTGCTGAAGCACTTAAACATCCTTGGATATGCGTAAATTATTATATTAAAACTATAACAATTTATATTGTGTCTTTATATTTGGTTTTCTTATATACATATGTATTTTTTCCAAAACAACTTTAGCAAAGAGAAAGAGTTGCTTCTGTTGTACATCGTCAAGAAACGGTCGATTGTCTCAAGAAATTCAATGCTCGTCGTAAACTTAAAGGCGCCATTTTAACAACAATGTTAGCAACAAGAAATTTTTCAAGTAAGTTACTATAATTTTTATTTTATATAAATTGAAAAAATTCTTCAATAGTTGGTAATTTTTCCGAAACATAAATTTTTTTTGCGTGTAAGAAAAGGAGACTAACTTGTATTCGGAATAAAATACTTTTTATTTTTGCTTATATATTTCGTGCGCTACATACGCAACAAATAATAAAATTAAAATCTATTAAATTTAGAAATATCATACCTGACCTAATCTTATTTTCAACTGACTTAATCTAAAATTTAATTTTTCTTTATGTTTTTATTTTTATTATTAATTACATTTAAAATTGTACCTGTTTTAATCCTTAAAATTGGTCAAATAATTAATTTAAAGAGCCAAGTAGTCGCGTTACCTTCGTCCTTGTTCAGTAGGCAGTCTTTGTTTGATTTGTTTTCCTTTCACCTCTCTTAATACTTTAATTGTTTTTCACCTCTCTTAATACCTTTAAGTTATCTTCCGTAATTATGTGATCTATTTCATAAATGTATTTTGCAACCATTAAATCGAAATTCCTGTTAAATCCTACTATAAAAACAAAATTTCTATGTCACAACTTTTCTTTTATTTTAAAATTTTTTTGTATCTTTAAAAAAAACTGTAGGTAGAAGTATGATCACAAAAAAGGGTGATGGTTCGCAAGTAAAAGAATCAACTGATTCATCAAGCACAACTTTAGAAGACGATGATGTTAAGGGTAAGTTTTTTTTCACAAATTTTAAACTTTTTTAGTGTTGCCAAAATTAGTTTTAGTTTAATAAGTATTTTAAATACACTGTAACACTTTCAAAATGAATTCAAAAAACAACTCATAACAAAAATATGTTTTAACCATTTATAGAAAAGTCCATTTTTGAAAAATTTATTGTTTAAGGCCGTCTTTTGTGCTCTCATCTCGTTAATATTGTTGCCAGATGATTTTATAGCCCTTTGTGTGTTATTTAGAAAACCATAACTAACATTAAATTTTCATTCATATATTGCATACATTTAGGAACATAAGAAAATGTTATTGACTTGTTCTAATTTAATTTGATATACATAGATTCAATTTTATTCGGCATTTATCTGTTTATGTGTATTAGTACGTGTGTTGTTTTTCAAAAATTTTATTACGAATCCAAACTGATTCCCCAAACTGATTGCAATTTTAAATTGACGTAATAGTTTAGTGGCTTAGATCTGCGAATATAAATCTGAAGAAGATTATGCGTGCTTTATGTGATTTAAAATGTTTTCGTATTTGTTGCACAGCGGACTCACTTAACTATTTTGTCTTAAAGTCTTAACCAGTTGTTGTTTTATAATTTTACATTTTTTTTTTTGTTGAAATTAAAATAATAGAAAGTGAATAATAATTGTGTTTACTTTAGAGATGTATTTTTGTGGATTATGAAAATAAGCAATTTTAATAGCTAAAAACATAAAATTTTTCCCATAAAATTATGCACTCTTGTTTTTTATTTACAAAGTAGTTTGTCATTATTTCAGAATTTTTTACATTATCATCTGAAAAATTTTAAAATTTCGTGATTATTGTTAATAGAAATGTTTATTAAACCGGAGTAAGAGTACGATAAGAACAATATTTTACTATTATTATAGTTATATCCTTATTAGTATCTTACTAATAAATATCTTAAAGCTCTGTATTATTTCCTATAAAGGAAACACTTTTTTTGATCTTAAATTACTACAGAATGTCTGAGACTCTTAAATTTTCTTAAATTATTTTTCTTATTTTACTTTGCTTGAGTTATTTTTTTAATGCTTCCCCCCCGGTTTTATCTAATAAATATTTTGTTCCTTAGATTTCTGCGACATTATGTTATATGAAAATGGAGGTCAGAATACAATGCTCCAACTTTCTGTAAAAAAAAGGTTAGGTTTTTAATATGCGGTGCGTAAATTATATGAGTAAATGACGATTAAAGGAAAATCTATTTTAATAAATTTAATATCTAAATTTTTAAATGATTTTACATTTAAATATCTCTGAAACTAAAGAAGTTTTTGACGTCATTGATTATGCACCATTACCTGAAAGGTTGTTAGAAGCTTCAAATGAATAAACAAAATTTTGGCCATTGTACCTATTAGGTAATGTATAAGTATTCATATACGAATGCAAAAAGAAAAAACAATAAAAAAGAAAGATTCACGTCCATGAATTATCAGTGAAAATTGCAAAATATACGATTTTGAGAAATTTCAATTGTTGAGGCTTCGAAGAGATTATATTGGAAGGATTCGAGAAGGCCGGCACAAAGAGCAAAATGTCACTAAGAATTTGTTTCTCCGTCTGGAGGCATTTTATCACCTTGCTTCGGCGGGAATATTTTCGAGTCTTGGACGCTCTGTTATTTCACTACTCATTTTAATCGTACTTATGTCATATTAGTGCATATAAAAAATAATAATTTCTTTATATTACATAAGTTCAATGTCATGCAACTGTTGCTGTGTGTTAAGCATATTAATTTATAAAGAAGTATTGCTAGAACATAATTAAAGTATTATATATTGTTGAATAAAAATAGTCTTAAAAATTAGTAGCAATTCAAATAAACTATAAATTTTTTTTTGTTTTTTTGAAAAATAATTATCTTTGTTTACTTTCTCTTTCTTTGTCTCTCTCTCTCTCTTTCTATTTGTCTCGATTTCTTTCATTAATTTTCTTTATATATATTTGTATATATTTATATATATATATATATAAATGTATGTTTAAATTTCTGTATACTATGTTATATTATAAAATTAAAATATAAAGTCGAACGTTTGACACAAAGATTTGCCAAAAGTTATATTAATCCACGTGAATTTAGTTTCGATTTTTTTGAAACTTTTGTGGAAGATGAATAATATTTTTTAGCATAATATATTTGAATGCCAGAAACACACATATTTAGTAGGCACCACTATGAACTGCAGAATTTATGATAAATTGTCAATAATGTAGCTTCACAAGTGCGTATATATAAAATAAATCTATAATCAATTAAAATAAGGTTATTTTCTATTATTTGCCGACCGCATTGAATACAATAAGGGAGGTTAAGTGATAGCACCAAATTTCGGATATCAAGTTTTCGGTGGGAATACACTTCTCCATAGTAGAGGAACATAAATAAACTAATTTTATAGAGCTGTTGGTCGATCTACCTGTTGGGCTGTGAGCCTGTGAATGCACGCGTGTGTCTCAATTTGGGCTGTACCGATTTTAATGAAATTTTATGTGTGAATTAATTTATGGCTATGTCACGAATTTTGGGACATACCAGACCTCAGAAACTGGACCTGTTTACGAGCCGATTTTACATTTTTGCGCATATAAAGAAAAGTAGTCAACCAATTTCCTTAAAAATTAATATTTCAATTTGGAGTGTTAAAACAATAAAAATATAAATTTTTTGGAAAGATCAGTAGCCCTATCATGAATTTCGTTCGTAGCTCCGAAATTCGGAAAATTACAATTTTCATACTCTCAATTCCGAATTATTAAAGTTCTGCTCCGGATATTCGTAATGAAGCAATCAAAAATTACGTTCGTAATAAAAATAACACTCAATAGTGTACGAAAGAAATACTCACATGTAACAAGCAATTTAGAGAGAGTGGTTGTTATAAATTTTCAAGCTTTTAATTTTTTTGTTTGAATTTGAGTTTTTCCAAAACAGCAACCGTTAAATGAAATTAATTCATATTTGCTAAAGAATTGTTTTTTTCACTTTTCAAATACAAAAATATATCCTTTTCAAAATAAACTTTTCAAAAATATCCTTTTTTATGAAAGTTGTGTACTCAAATAGCAAAAAAAAAAACATAAATAAACATTTGACAGTTGAAATAAAGTATTGATTTTTACACTCCAAAAAAATTGTGTTACCATTGCTGATTCATAATCTCTACGAAAGGAATTTGTGATTTGTGAAAAGTTTACGTCGTAGCTAAGTTCGTCATTCGTAGAATTCTACGTAAACTACGGACGTAATTTATGATTTCTCTTTTGCGCAATATTCGCAGTAGGATTTTAGTAATTCGGAATTGAGAATATGAAATTCGTAATTTTCCAAATTTCGGAACTACGAACGAAATTCATGATAGTGTTTTCTGTAAGTTCGAAGCTGACATTTTTGCCGTTGTCAAATTTTGTAATTGTAAAGTATGGCGGCCTTTAATATGTTTGAAAGGGCATTATCTAATTTAACCTGTTGAAATGAGTACTCAAAAATGAAAAAAAGTAGTACTCGTATATGAAAAAAAAGTAGTATAATAGAAATTTAAAAAAAATACCTGATATTATATAAAAGAGTAGTCATATATTTATTGAACTTATATATATATAAATTGTTAAAGCATTTATGATATTTAAATGAAATAATTTAAAAAATATATTGATATTTATTATTTTAAAATTGCCAAAATATATAAGCAAAAAAAGTGTAATATTCGATTAAGAAATTTGTTTAATTTTTTTTATACGTAGAAAATATAATTGAATTTCGAATGGGAATATGGCCAAATGGTGCCATCGCAGTATAAAATCTATGATGAAAATATAAAATTTTTTTGTAGACATGTACAAGTTAAAATTAGACATATACAGGATGCTAACGAATGGTATGTGTCTTTAAGTGTATATACCACGTGTATACTGCTGCATGTAAAAGTAAAATAATTGTTTGGAGTGCAGTTTTGTTCATATACTCTAATCGTTAGCTATGAGAGCTAGAGAGCGATTAGGTCTACAGTACAGTAAAATAAAGTAGAATTTTTTCTATAGTAAGCTCTTAAATGACAACTTCAGAATTCTATAAATTCCGAAGATATTAGCTTATAAATTCGAAAATTTATAACATAACACGAGCGCAACTCATCAAAATTTTTTTTTTGAATTGTGAAAAACTTGATTTCAGTCTTTCAACTTTGAACAACACTTTCAGCAACATTTTGTTTTCGTTAAATATTTGAATAGGGGGGGGGGGGGGGGCTGTTTTTTAATGTGAAATGTTACGTTGTTGCAGATTTCTTCAAATTTTTAAAGTTTTTGTTTTTAAAATTGTTTATATAGTTACATCCTAATGCTACCCTGCATTATCATCAAACATCTTCCTGTATACTTGTTATGTATATATAGATATAGTATATGGTTCGAGAGAGTTATATAGAACAAAATGAAATATTAAAAATTTATTATTCAATTATACAGATTTATCTTTCAGTGTCCTAATACAAACGTGAAACTAAGTATGAAAAGTCTGCATTCACTAAGCGTTCCTGTATATTTTGCATTAAAACGAGATTAATTATATTGTTTAGAAATTTCAATTTTTTTAATAATTTTTATAGTATTTAACATTTCAAAATATAACATTTTATTTTACAAAAAACAAACAAAAAAAATTTTTCGTATGCAAAACGAGCAGAAAAAGTCTGCATACAGCACCTGAATTTTTAAACCAATGTGACTAAATTCAGAGTATGAAGTTGGCTAGCCTTTTCTTGCTAAAATTCCTCGTAGCCTTTTTGGCGTGGAATGAACCAGTTTTGAAATTTCTTCAATTGTGATTTTTGACCATTCTTTTGTTATGACATCTTTGAACATTTTTTAGAACTTATGGTTCGTTTACGAATTTTACGTTCTAGCAAATCCCATAAATATTTTATGGGAGATTGGGGTGGTGTATGCAACTG